CCTCGCCCGCCCCCCCACGGGTTGGAAAACCGGGTTTCTTAGTTTTTTAGTCCCAGGACAGTCCGGTGGGCCACTGGGGGGGGGGGGATCAGCAAATGAATTCAAAAATATATTTGTTGCACAAACATTCTGGTACTTTTTTGATAAAGTTTGCTAAGTAAGGAAATCTTGGTAGATAATAACAATGTAAAGTAAATTTATATTTAAAATGTAGATAACTTCTGAAATAAGTTATTTTAATACATATTATATAAAAATTAAATAAATTATCTCATGATGGTATTATATAGAATCCATTATTATAATCCATCATGCACTCAAACTAACAGAATAAATTAAATAAATTATTGACTGGAGATTGCATAGTTTTCTACCATGGTGCTATCTGTTGACCATTATAGAAACTGTGACATTTTAATTACGAGATTATCTATTGGCTTTTGACACGATTTTTACACTAATATTCCACCGTTCTTGATGGTTGACCTAGCAGGTCAGCGTCTGAAGAAGTTTACTTGTATAACCTACTTTCATGCACGACTATCAAATCCTTGTCCACCATAGCCTGATGTTTTTGCATATCATCTTTTGCCAGCCAACAGCAAATCAAAGTGGTCTTATCAGTCTTCATGACACCAGTATATTACACTAGTCATGGCTGACACTTGGACTTTGAGTAACGAAAACCTTACCGTTTACCATACTTCACGTCTTATTTCAAGAAACTAGTTCTGGCTAGTTTTTAGCGGGAAACATTTGACGTTAAAGCCTACATTAAAATTTTTGTTTTTTTCTACTACACTTTACTAAACGTTTATTTCACTATCCTTTTGTGTTAACTGATCTTCAGCCTTCTTCCAAGACACTGTGGGCTCTGAAAACAATTGAACTTCAGCAAACTATCTCCAGACTTTCCTTATTTTGGACGCCAACCTTGAGAACAATTCAAAACCTATAGTCCATATTACTTGTCACTCAATATCAGTTGCAGCTAACAAGCACCTTTAGACTGCTATAGTCGCAGTTAACAAACATCATCAGACAGTTACAGTTACAGCTAACAAGCATCTTCAAACTGTCACAGTTGCAGCTAACAAACATCATCAGACTGCTATAGTTGCACCATATAAGCATCATCAGGCTGTTACAGTTCCAGCATACAAACATTTTCAGACTGCTAAAGTTGCAGCATACAATCATCTTCATACTGCTACAGTTGTACCATACAAGCATCTTCAGACTGCTACAGTTGTACCATACAAGCATCTTCAGACTGCTACAGTTGCACCGCACAAGCATCATCAGACTACTACAGTTGTACCATACAAGCATCTTCAGACTGCTACAGTTCCGGTATACAAGCATCTTCATAGTGCTACAGTTGCACCACACAAGCATCATCAGACTGTTACAGTTACAGCTAACAAGGATCTTCAAACTGTTACAGTTGTACCATACAAGCATCATCAGACTGCTACAGTTGTACCATACAAGCATCTTCAGACTGCTACAGTTGCAGTGGACAAGTATCTTCAAACTGTTACAGTTGTATCATACAAGCATCATCAGACTGTTACAGTTGCAGTGGACAAGATTCACTAGCTATAATGAGAGTAGTAAGAAGCACATTTGCAGCCTGCTCCGACTGTAGCTAACAAGCATCTTCAAACTGTTACAGTTGTACCTGACAAACAACTCCAGTCTGCTCCAGCTGTAGCTAAGAAGCATCTTCAAACTGTTACAGTTGTACCTGACAAACAACTCCAGTCTGCTACAGATGTAGCTGACAAAAAATCTCTAGTTTGCTTCAATGTTAGTTTATAAGCATCTTCAGTCTGCTCCAGTTATAGCTGAAGCATCTTCAGCATGATCAAGTATTTGGGCTAACACATATTTACAAGCTGCTTCTGCTAACACATATTTACAAGTTGCTTCTGCTGACACACATTTACAAGTTGCTTCTGCTGACACATTTTTACAAGTTGCTTTTGCTGACACATATTTACAAGTTGCTTCTTCTGACACACATTTACAAGTTGCTTCTGCTGACACATATTTACAAGTTGCTTCTGCTGACACACATTTACAAGCTGCTTCTGCTAACACACATTTACAAGTTGCTTCTGCTGACACATATTTACAAGTTGCTTCTGCTGACACATATTTACAAGTTGCTTCTGCTGACACATATTTACAAGTTGCTTCTGCTGACACATATTTACAAGTTGCTTCTGCTAACACACATTTACAAGTTGCTCCTGCTGTAGCTGACAAACATCTTGAAACTAGCCAAGTAGTTGTGGGCAACAAACATCTCCAAATTGCTCCTGCTATAGCTGATAAGTATCTCCAGAGTGCTGCAATTATAGTTTGCAAGCATCTATACACAAGCCTCTCGAGATATATCTAGTTGTTTCTGACAAGCTAAACATCTCTAAACTATCCCGCCTCTGGCAGACAACCGTTGTCAGACTTATCCATTAATGTCTGAAATTAGCAGTTCATGACTATTCTCAATAGTGAGGCTGAATCTGATGTCGATGACTTCAGAATTTCTCAATATCTTGGATTTCAATCATCTTACCACGAGAATTCATCTATACAGTCCGCCATTACTTCTTTAGCTCAGAAAATGAGAATGAGACTTCTCTTTTAAATTAATTTAAATTGTTTTATTCTTCAACGAGTGAAATGCGGAGGGATTTATTTCTGCATTTTGTTTTTTACATAATTATCTCTCAGTAAATCTGACCGAAATACACTCAGTAATTGTGAAATTCACAAGTGTTAAAATAACATGAAGCATAAAAAATACAGTAGATAACGCTGTAGAGAAGCATAACGAAATGTATGTTTGTGTGAAAAGGTTAACAACGTATATGTAACCCAAGTTTCAAATGTTCCGGAGCTCCTTCAATCACAGCATCATATCGAAACTAGCATAGAATACGCATGCTCCACTGCGGGGTTCAAAGTTCCCCTTCATGATTCATAGAGGCCACAATCTGCTGAATTAAGCTCTGCCAATATCCCCAGTTACTTCTATAGTTGTCCCTCCCCCCCCCCCAGTGGCACAGCGGCATGTCTGCGGACTTACACGGCTTGAATACAAACCGGGTTTCTATACTCGTGGTGGGAAGTGCACAGATAGCCCATTGTGTAGCTTAGGGCTTAGTTACAAACAAACACACTTCTGTAGTTACCCCAATGTGTTCGTACACGAAAAACATTCTGTGGTGCCTGATCACGTGTGCGAAGTTTGGCCCCCTAGCTTTTGATTGAAGGTATGAAAGAGGTGAGCTAGGAACAAAACACTGATACCAGTTTCGGGTTCAGTGACCTTGAAAACCTACTCCTCGACACCGTCATGTTCAAGGTGGTAAGGGGTTAAGCAATATAGATATGAGCACCCGAGTATGCATGCAAAATTTGGTCCTGCTAGCTCCATAACTGTGGGTAGGTGGATTTCACTCACAATAAAAACAAGAACAAAAACAAACACACAATGTGAATTAATATAGACTACATTCATTTAATTAGTTCATCTCCTAGGCACGCTGGTGTTTAATTTGTGTATAATTCGAGTAGCGCTCTGTCTCCAGTTTATTGTACGGCGATTCAGCCCTTCCTCGTATTGTTCGGCGATTCAGCCCTTCCTCGTATTGTACGGCGATTCAGCCCTTCCTCGTATACGTTAAACTTTGTGGATTTGGTTTGTAGCAAGATTAAACTGCGTCCTTGAGTTCAAAAAGATATAACACAAAACTATTAAAATTGTCAAAGTGTTAAAACTATAGATGTTTCAGGTGTGTGATCAGCAGTTCGCACTAAGTTGAGGTTTTAAAGATCTCAAAGAATAATTAAACTAATACGCTCTGAGTAAAACTCTGCTCGCATCATGTGTACTCAGGACTTAATTTCTGCCGGATATCTTCGGATCTCAGATCCGGAACCTGTTTTTGATTTTCTTTTAATCTTAAGACGGGATCTCTGTAACTTTAAATCTGCCACAGTTGCATTGGAATTGATATTCCACTAGCGTCGTCAACTACAATACCATTCTCCAGTCCAATCCCAAATAATAGCTTCAATAACGATTAAAATATTATCTTCAGGAACTGAAAATCCTACCCTTCCCATTAACAGGAATAAGGAACCTTTGTTATCTATAAATTAACAACTGAATAAGCCAGTCGAAAGTAATTTTTTTCCCTCTTTGAGAGCTGAAAAATTATTATATTACAAGACCTGCTGTATTTGCAGCTCAAGATGTGAAGGCTTTTAATAAGTCATAAAATATACTTCGTTCTTAATAAATCTTGAAATGTATTTCGTTTTTAATAAATCTTAAAATTAATTTCTTGTATGACCAAGATGTGTAACTAAAGTGAACGAAGTATATTTTATGACTTATTAAAAGAACGAAGTATATTTTATGACTTATTAAAAGAACGAAGTATATTTTATGACTTATTAAACGGATGAAGTATATTTTATGATATATTAAAAGAATGACGTATGTTTTTAAGACTTATTTAGAACGAAGTATATTTCAATATTTATTAAGAACGAAGTTCATTCTAAGATTTACTAGCTGGAGTAGCCGTCCGTTGGACGGGCGAAATAAAAATTCATTTGTAACAAAGGAAATTGAGCTTTTAAGAATGAGCACTAAGAGTGCAATAAAAATACATAAATATACATACTGTTTTCATGAATTCTAACAATAGTGGTCACATAGTTCATTCCATACAACATTCGTAGCTTTTCCGAAATTAGAAATAAAATTTGATGGGGGGGGGGGTCCAATTACCCTTTCCCATGACCATCCTCATGTCATACTGTATAACTGTGTTAAGTTTGGTGATGATCGATCAACAAATGTGGGAATTAAGTATATTTCAAGACTTATTAAGAACGAAGTATATTTAATATTTATTAAAAACGAAGGGTATTTTAAAATTTATTAAGAACGAACTAGCCTCCCAGTGGCAAAGCGGCATGTTTGTGTACTTACAACGCTAGAACCCGGGTTTCGATACCCGTGGTGGGCAGAGAACAAATAGCCCATTGCGTAGCCTTGTGCCTAATTACAAACAAACAAAAGAACGAGGTATATTTTAAGATAAAAGTATACTCTCTGTAATAATAAACGATTTCATGACACCTTCTGTTAAACAACACAGAAAACACATCTCTAATGTGATCCCAATTTTTTCTTTGTGCCCCGCCTCCTTCTTGACTCAGTGGTAAAATTGAGAGTGTATACCAATATGATTCGGGTTTCTGTTCTTGTGGTGAGCTCATCTCCGATAGTCCATTGTACAGATTTACCCACATCTAGAACAAACATGTATAATTTGTGAGTTAATGTATTCCTATACTTAGCTTAAAAACGTTTCACAACAAGCTATTGAAAGTACAGGTCGAAATGATAGTTATCATTGGTCATGTTCTTGATGAACATGACAAAACGTACTATACTCAGTTATGTTTCAATCTATTATAGAAGTTAATATGTCTAATGTGTGTGTGTCAATCTATTTTAGAAGTAATTATGTCTACTGTGTGTGTTTCAATCTATTATAGAAGTTGTTATGTCTAATGTTTGTGGTGTCAATCTATTATAGAAGTAATTATGTCTACTGTGTGTGTGTCAATCTATTATAGAAGTTATTATGTCTAATGTGTGTGTTTCAATCTATTATAGAATTATTATTTCTACTGTGTGTGTC